ATTATTGTTGAGTGGCATATGGTGTGTTACTGTTTGGACTTGTACCTAAGCATCCTTTGTTGTGGCTATGCAATGTGTAGCATGATGTCAAGGTTAGTGTTAGGTAAAGATATTAACTCGAGCGTAAGTTTTTTGAAGCTTCATGTACACAACAGAGCTACAAAACTATGGAGAGGCCTAAGTCAATTACAATCATATTTGTAATGTTGTTACTATGTGAATCATTTTTCAAGCACAAGTATTATTATTTTTATAATTAAATAAACCTTTCATAAATATGCTTATTAAATGTTTTCGAAAAATCATTACAATAAGCTTATTCTATAACTCTATTGCCGTTCGCTTATCGAAAGGTTTATTGGGAATATAAATGCTGGTATTGTCACTTGCGATTTATAAAATTCGCTTCACCTCAACTGTCAAAATTTGACGAACGTTTATTTGATTCGAGAATCTAATTAAAAATAGAGAAAACGTTAGTAATATTTTAAAAATTAATTTTTTGGTATTTAATTCATTACAAATTTAATTATTTTCAGAATAAAACGAACAACTCAAAAGCAATTTGAGGTGATGGTGAAGTTGATGGAAGCAAATCCTGAGTTAGCCAGAGGAATGGCGCCGTTTGGCTCCACAAAAAAAAATAGGATAGAGTTGTGGGAAGGTATTGCTTCAGAGTTGAACAATATAGGGCCTCCAATACGTAGTGGCAGCGAATGGAACAAGGTAAGAATAAACAATTTTGATTGCATATATGTACATATCTGTATTAATTTGTGTATTTCTTAGGTTTGGTTGGTCTACAAGATAAAATTAAAAAGGAAAATTGCAGATAACCAAAAAGAGATTGCAGCCACAGATGGAGGATCATACACCCAACGCAGTGTAATGCCTTTGGAGTAGGCCGGACGAGTTGCTCAGTTTGCAGCRGGCAGTGAATCCAAGCGGATCCGTATTTGGAAGCACTGCACCTACACCTGCATATGTAGAAGAGGAACATCTGGAAGATGTCGAGGTTCAGTCTAAACAGGCTGCAAATGTTAGCATTACGTCCAGGCAGGCACCTACAAGCAGAGTGGAGGAGCACGAAAATTTCCGCATGAAGGCTTTCTAGAAGCAAGTAGAAACGCAAGAAAGCCTTGTCGGTATTATGCAAAATATTCATTCGGTGTGTAATGAAATTTCTAGATACAACAGAAAAATTTACGAAGTAAAAAAAGAAAAATTGGCGCTTTATAAAATGAAAGAAGAAAGAAAGAAAATATTGAAAAAAATAGGCGACATATAGAAAAAATTGAAATAAAACTAAAAGAATTGGAATTAAAAAACTTAAATACTCAAAATAAAAAAACGTATTTTCTGTATATTCAAAATTAATTTCAGTTATTTTATTGTAGCTATGTTTATTGGGAATATTTTTAACATATATTTTAGGGATGCAACTAAACTATGCCAATGCATTCGCAATTTGTCTTCGGCGATGATCTGCTGCTGTTGCATGGAAGTTTCCTTCAACTGGTTCCAGTGGTACTACCACATCAATAAAAGTTTCTTCTTCAGGATCATTCACATTATATTGTTTGCAAATATTGTGTAAAGCACAACAAACATTTACAATAATAGTTGCTTGACTAGGAGGATATCGTAGTTTACGTTCACCTAGTATACATCGAAAACGGCATTTCAGCACTCCAATCGTCCTTTCAACTACGTTGCTTGCCTTTGCATGTTTCTTATTAAAATTTTATTCCACTGTTCCTGCCAAAGCGTTTCATAGATACTCGTGTAGTGGATAACCAGAATCACCTAAAATATGTTTAATGTTAGTATTTATGTATGTACGTACACATATAAATTGTAGTTACCTAAGTAAACCGAATTGTGATCTCCTCTTTGGTACGTTTGCTCCAGATATGTTTTTAATGCGCTATTGTTCCACACAAATGAGTCGTGGCTAGATCCTCCATATCTCGCATCAACACACCTTATAACCATATCCTGATCGCACGCCTGATTAAAAATAATTTTTTAAGACTAAATAATAATAAGTAATAATTTTTTTTATTTAGTTTCTACTTACAATCATCGCATTTATGCTGTAAAATCCTTTTCTATTCATATATAAATGCTTGTTCTCACATGGAGCAATAATTGCAACATGGGTTCCATCAACGCAACCAACCACATTTGGAATTCCTGATCTGGTGAAAAATTTCCTTTTCGTTGTTCGTTTCTGCTCTTCAATTATGTTTGTTTTGATCCAGACACTGCACAGAGTGGATTCCAATATTGGAAGCATTTTCTTAAAAATCAACGAAACAGTGGGATGCGCAATACCTAAACCAAAAACCTGAGAACGCAGCACAATTTCAACATCGGCGATATTGACGGCGATAGGTTAGTCAGACATTTTTCCTTTATGCTGTCTAGCACATACATAAATGCATCCGTACTTAACCGGAAGTTTTCTTTAAATCTGTTAACAAAAACTTATGTGACGTGATATTTGTTTATGCACTTTTATAGCAATAGATATTTACAACACTGAAGAAAATTCCATGGGATTAAAGTGATCTTCGATGAACCGTCGCTGCCTAAGTAATTTCGTTGTTGTGCTTTCAACATAACTGTCTTCAAAATATAAATCTACGTTGTTAAAAATTTGTATTCATTCTTTTAAAATCACGGTAAAATTTCAAAACACACAATAACGAATAATAGCAGAAACAGTCAAAAACGCAGAATCGTGGGTCGTGTCAGCTAATTCGACCTATCTTATGGTCGCGCAATGTAAGTGCTCAGTGAAAAACGCTACTCCCTTCTCTCTTTGACGTCGGATGACGTGRGAATCTACAGCATTTTGGTTTTTGCCGTCTAAACGTGGCAGCTGATTGCTCTCTCACAACCCAGGGTTACCAATATCTATATACTGTAGTAATTATCAACTTTTATAATTCAATCTGTTCAATAAGTTTGAAATTTTCTTAAAATAACTCAAAATTGGAGTCGAATGCTATTATTTATAAATATATAAACTATTTTTAATAGTTTGTTTTCAGTTTTGATATTTTCTATTATAAAAAATTGTAATTGGAAACATAGATGTGTACAAAACTATA